CGCGGGCCGGACGGGCCGGCCTGGAAGCCGTAGCCCCTGGGCGGAGGCGGCTCGTGGCCGCAACCTCGGGAAGCCGACAGCCGAACCTGCGTTGCCGGAGCCGGGGGCGGGCTCTGCGAGGCCGGGGAGGAGCCTGCGCGGCTGGAGGTTACAAGCGCGGCCTGCGCGGCCGCGGGTAGGACGTGCGCGGCAGGGGCGAGGCTGGCGGGCCGGCCCTCGGCAGCCGGGGGCGGAGCCTGAGCTCCAGCATCTCCTCCGTTTTTCTGTTTCTCTCTGGGGGACGTTAAAGGAAAGTATTGCAAAGTGTTGGAGCCATAGCTCAGGAGCTGTCTGGCCATCAGTACTTAATTTTTCCCATCTCAGAAACTGGAACCTGGGTTGAGAAATCAAGGACGCAGCTGGGATTAATCAAGGTCCTTGAATAGCACAAAAGGTTTGCCTTCGACTTCTAACCTAAAGATTGGAGGTTCAAACCCACCCAGTGGCACACAGAAGAAATGCCTGGCAATCTGAAATCATAAAGATTTCAGCAAGAAAAACCCTTTGGAGCAGTTCTACTCTGTAACACATGGGGTCACCATAAGTAGGAATTGACTGGACAACAATTTTTGGTTTTGGTTTTGAAATAAGGATAATACAGCATGTGCCTCCACAAGGGGCAGCTTGTGGCAGTCAGGACTCGAACCCTGGTCAGAGCTCTTACCAGCTACTTTCACTTCCTGAAGGACCTGTGCCAGTGAGTCCAGCAAGTCCACACCAGTCCAGGTCAGGGCCCTGGCAGATGCAGAAATGTGTCCTGTTTAAAGGCTCAGACAGGGTCCCTCAGGGATCTTAAATTCAAACGCCTTCAGGGTCCAGGTCAGTGGTAGAAACGATTGAAGAGGGCACAGTAGGGCCACAGGGAGAGGTGGACCTTGCAGTGAACTGGAAAGCACGTGGCCCGTCTAGAAGCTTGAACAAAATGCTATATGGACCAGGCAAGCTCCTCCAACCATCCCTCCACGTCCACCCGGGAAACCACCCTGCATCCATCCAGTCTCACCCAGTGTCCTGCCCCGGCTCCCATTTCAAACTCCATTTTTTTCAGAGGCTCAGGTACGGGCACAATGCCAGAGCATCTGTTGCTGGCTCAGCAACCTCCCTAGGCTCCCCTGCTCCAGGTCCAAAGCCAAACCATCCAGCGTGGTGTCCAAGTGCATTCCTTTCCCTCCCTGTGCAAAGCTTCCAGGGAAGGGGCCTGCTGCAGAGGACTTGGCTCCGGGGCCTCCTCGTCCTCCATACCCCAGCCTGGGCACACCTCAGGGGCAGTGGTCCAGCCTCACACACTCTGTGACTCCGTCACTCGCACAAGGCAAGGCACACAGTGGGTCTCCAACCAGGGTCCCTCTGGCCTCCTCCAAGTTCTCAACCTTCAAATGTCTCTCCTTGTAGACCCAGACTCAAGGGAACAACACATTCATTCACCATCCACAATGGCTGGTGAGGTGACAAGTTCTTCCCCAGAGAGAGAACTCCCTCTTCTAACTGGAGACGAGAAGAACTAGATGGTGTCTGGCTGCCTCTACTAACAGTGTTGACCAGAAACACAATAGATGGTCCTGAATAGAATGGGACAAAAATGTAAAACTAAACTCAAATTCCTAAAAAACGCCAGACCTACTGGCTTGATAGACACTAGAGAAGCCTGCAAAATGACCACCTTAAGCTACCTTTGGAACTTGGAACTGAAGCCAGTCCTGGGTGTCATCCTTCAGCCAGGCTTATAACAGCATCACTTGTGAGGAACGTGCTCCCTTAAACAATCAACTATATGAGGCTAAACGGTCAGCATTTGCCCAAAAGCAAAGATGAGAAGGCAAGGAGGGGCAGAGGAGCTTCAGTAGAAACAGAACAAACAGACTGGAAAGCATGAGAATGCTGACACACTGTGAAAACTGCAACCAACGTCACGGAACAATCTGTACAAAAGCTGTTCAATGGGAACCTAATTCACTGTGTAAACATTTATCCAAAATACGATAGTGAAAAAAACAAAAACAGACAAACAAAAAGCTACCCCACACTTCTGGCCTATAAAGCCCTCCAGTCTGACCCGTCTTCTTCTCAGTCACCCTCCACCCACCCTGGCCACCCTTCTGACCCTGAAACACACTGAGTTCATTCTTGCCCTTGCTATTCCCTCTGCCTGGACCACTCTAATCACATGGCTTGCTCCTTCTTGTCATTCAGTTGTCAGCTCAAGATCACATACAGGAGGTTCTCGCCAACCACCCTAACACTATCCTTTTTTTACTTTCTTTGTCACACTCAAATCACCCTAGGTTCTAACTGGTTTCCTTGTGTATGGTTCACACGTCACTAGAATCTAAGCTCCAGGTGGGAAAAGACAAGCCAGTCATGTTCTCAGGGGCATCTCCAACACCTACACAGTGGCCAGCACACACCAGGTGCCGGATAATGTCTGTTGAATGAATGAATTAGGAAAACCAGGAGTCCTAGGCTCAGGAAAGGAGTTCTGGTGGCATAGTGCCTAAGGCATTTGACTGCTAACCAGAAGGTTAGCGGTTTAAACCCACCAGCTACTCCGTGGAAGGAAGACTGGGCAATCTACTTCCGTAAAGATTTACCACCTCGGAAACCCAAAGGGGGTCACTATGAGTCAAAATCAACTCAATAGCAGTGAGTTTTTTTTTTTTTTAAGGCTCATGAGGTCTTGGATAAGTCACTTCCCTCTCTTGCCTCAGACTTGGTCCAGTCCCACTGCCAGAGACCTGAAGTGGGGGACAGGGCTGAGTCATCCCCATCTATGAGAGCAGGACTCTGGGGCTCTGACTCAGCCTGTCCGATCCAGACCACGGGGACATCTGAGGCCAAACCCAAGTCCCAGGCTTGAAGCACAGCCACTCCTGAGCTTCCACAGAACCTACCATCCTGGGTGATGAGCTTAAGGCACTTGGTGTTTCAACTTCCTGCTGGGCCATAACAAGGAAGTCCCCAGCTTGTGTTAACTCATAGAGGTTGAGCAAATTGCTCAAGGTCACCCAGACGATAGGAAATTCCAGCTGCCCACAGAACAACCCTTCCTTTTCCTTCCCCTTCCCCATCAGCCTTTCCCTTTGGGGGCATCTCAAACCCAATGGCACAGCAGTGCTTGGTCTCAGTGGCTTTCCCAAGGTCCTGGGTTGGAGGGCAGCTCTCAGCCACACACCCCCACACCCACACCACACTGTCCCCTTCCCCTCTGCACTCCGGCCATAGTGAAATATTTTCTTTCTCTCTAATGCCAGGTTCTCTCTCACCTCAGGCCTTGACTGTACCCTCAACCTGGAACCCTCTCAGAAATGTGTCTGACTCTTCTGGTCTCTTAGGGGGGGTTCTCTTCCTGAAGATCCACAAGCCTCTGTCATGCCAGGTGCTTTTTGTCCCTGTCACCCTAGACCATGAGTTCTGAGAAGGCAGCATCTGTCTTTTTCCACCCCATGGTGCCATTGCCCAGCAAAGGGCTTGTCACATGGCAGGTGCTTAATATATATTTAATGAGTTAATGAGGTCGGTTTTCATCCTTTCCATATTACAGATTAGTCCACTGAGGCACAGAGAGGTTTAGCACCTTGCCCTGGCCACACAGCCAGGTCCCAGAGCAGCTCTGGAGGAAGTCTGTTTGGGCCGTGGTAGCACTGGATAGGAGTCAGAGGCCAGGCTGGAGTTTCCTGGAGAAGGGAGGAGTGATGGGCTCCACAGGCACAGGCTTTAAGCTTCCGCTCCCTGTGACGTCCGTCTGTGGGGCCAGGGCCTTTGGTCTGACCACCAACCCCTGCCTCCATTTCACAGATGAGAAAGTGGAGGTTCAGGGTTCCTCCAGGCTTGACGTCCCCTACACAAACCTGGGGGCAGACTGGAGGGTGAGACCAGAAGCACTCACTCAAGATCGAATAGACTTCAACAGAATGCTCCCCAGAACCCCAGGACTCTCCCCACCCCCACTACACTACCTTCTCCTCCCTACATCCCTAAAGCTGGAGTGAGACAGGCCATCCCAGAAGGGGGATTAAATGCGGGGTAGTGGAATAGGAGTCCTAGGTTCTCAGTTGGCTTGTTACTTACCTATGGGTAAGCCCCTTAAAGTCTCTGGGCCTCAGTTTCCCCATGTAGACAGAGTTTGGAGACTCTGGCCTCCCTTCTTCCCCAGAGCATGAGGATGGGGCTTGGGGAGCTGGTGGTTAAGAGTACAGGCTCCTGAATTCAAAAAGCCTGGGTTCGAACCCTGGCCCCAGCATTTATTGCTGAATGATCTTGCTTAGTTCCTTCACCCCCCTGAGCTTCCATTTCATGGTCTGTGGAAAAAAGAATAGTGATAGCATTTCTTGAGGATTAAATGAGCTAATGTAGAGCAGTTCTTGGCACAATGCCTGGCACAGCATCACCATCGAATAGGATGGTGTTGTTATAGCGTAAGTGGATACTGCCCTCTGCTGGCCATCCGGAGGGATAGCAGGCGAGGGGAGTCCGCCCAGCTGCTCGCCCTGGCTGGAACCAGTGCTCCCAGCGTGTCCCATTGTCCAGGTGGGGAGAGTATGGATGGGCACCGGTCACTCTGTGTGAGCCTCCACCCACTGGCAGAGGCGGTGGGCGTAGCAAGTCGGGCTGACCGTGGAGAAGGTCCGGCCCGGGTAGCGCAGCATTTTCCACAGGTGCTCCAGCCGCTTACGAAGCCCATAGACTGTGGTAAGGTCCACGAGGCCCAGGAAATAGCGTTGCTCAGGCCCGTCTAATATGTGTAGGGCGTTGGGGATGTCAGGCAGCAGCCGGAGATTCTGGGCTCCCGGTTCCTGCAGGTTTGGTGTCCCCTGCACAGACCTAGAGGCAGACCCAAGGGTGAAACTGCCGCCACCTCAATGGCAAGGCATCAGTAGACAGCCCCGTAAGCCTGGTCAGGGAGCCTGTGGGCGGCGCTCTGCGAGGACTTTGCTCTTCAGTCACTCATTCACACACCCGATAAACTATGAGGCTGACTGAGGTGTAGTTGATAGTCTAGAGCTGAGCCACATGGCTACCATGGAGCATTTGAAATGTGTCCAGTCCCAACTGACACGTGGAGTAAATGTAAATACACCCCGAATTTCAAAAACAGTACAAAAAATGAAAGTAGTATATCTCATACATTTTTCTGTTGATTACATGTGGGAATTATAAAATTTTGGACATGTTGGATTAAATAAAATGTATTATTAAAATTAATTTTATCTTTTAAAAAGCAAGGCTGCTGGAATATTTAAATTACATGCGTGGCTAATATCACATCCTACTGTGTAGAGCTGGCCTAGAGCATTTGGGTCATAGAGACGCTGGTGTGCACTTATGTGCCAGGTGACTTTGGGTAAGTCCCTTGCTTGGGTATTTCCTAGACTTCTGTTTGGGAACATCCAACCCTCCCCATCGCAGAGCTGAAGCCTTATGAACAAAGTCCAACCTTAATCTGCAGATGTTGCATGTCTTTTCACCTCAAAACCCAAAAAAATAAAAATAACCAAACCCACGGCCATCAAGTCGATTCTGACTCATAGTAACCCCTACTGGGTTTCCAAGGCTATAAATCTTTACTGAAGTAGCTTGCCTCATCTTTCTCCCATGGAGCAGCTGTTGGGTTTGAACCACTGACCTACTGGTTAGCAGCTAAAATGCTTTACCCGCTACACTACCAGAGCTCCTTTTAACAGATTCCAAATCAGAAGATGCCTTAACTTTGAGGTTAGATCCCCTAACCTTGTCCTCCAGTGGGGAGCAGCTGTGGGGCTTTGTTCCTGCTCTCTTGGGGTGGTACAATGGGTTGTGCTAGATTACTAACCAAAAGGTTGGCAGTCCTAATTCACGCATTGGCACTTTGGTGCTACAGAAGAAATGCCTGGTGATCTACTTCCATAAGAATCATCTGCTGCTTGAACCTGGAGGACATTATGTTGAATGAAATGTCAATCACAGAAGGACAAATACTGTATGAGTCCACTACTGCAAAAAGTCAAGGAAGCGTTTATACATGGAAAGAAA